ACCATCTTGATGCATTTTACGTGCTATTTGTGCATATGTTTGTTTCGGCTTGCATGTTGACCGACTTCTATAATAGGGAAATGGAACCAAGAAAAAACAAAGAGTGAGGTAAAAAAAAAAAAAAATTTATCCGATTTTGAAAATCCAGGTATTTGAAAAATACTGAAACTCTGAAAAAAGTCATTTTCAAAATAAGTCATGTTTTCCTATTGCTCCAAAACCTACCGAACTAAGCGGGTCTGATTCTCACCGGATGTGAGATACGTAGGCAACCCCTATCAGGTCCGACCACATTTTTTCAAAACTAACCAAAATAAGAACCTTTTGAAACATGATCATCACCCGGGGTCGTTCTTGTCAAAATAGCCTTAAAATATTCTCCTGGAGCGCCGAAAAGCTGTTTTCACATGAATAGCCACAATGTAAACCCAAGTCAGTCTTTTCTCCTATAACCAACCTCAGTTGGCAGAAACAACCCTAAAAACTTTCCTCAAGTGCTGAAAGGGCCGTATTTGCAAAAAAAAAAATGTTACAAAATTTACTGATTTGGATATTTAAAATTAACCACTTTTTACTTTTGGATAATGTGTCGGTTTTGATTTTTGTCCTCAATTTGTGTGCAGAATGAGCACCGTTGAGAATGTACCTTTTCGGGTCGTAGATGAGATTCCACTGGGACTCCACATGTGGTAGAATGACTTGGGGGAGGTCAGCAAGCTTTATGTGACAAAGGCTTTAGGTGGGCTCACCGGTCTTTTGAAAATTAAACCAAGGGTTGATATAATTGAAGCTTTGATACCGTTTTGGGACCCGACGCACAATGTTTTCCACTTCTCTGATTTTGAGTTGATCCCTTTGCTAGAAGAGATGGCAGGTTATGTTGGTCTTGACGGGAATCTCAGGCACCAATATCCAGTAGCACCAAGACCTATAACTCCTCATAAGTTTTTGGACCTTCTGAGCATTAGCCGGCAGGTTAAAGATAGAAATTTGGCCAAAGGATTTTGCACATTCCACTTCTTATACAGCCGGTATGGGGATTCCCGAGGATTTGAGGCTCCAGACAATGGTTTGAGTCATCAGGGAAATAAAAACAAATGGGAAGCACACAGAGGTTTAGCCTTCGTAGTTGCCTTTTTAGGCACTCTGATATGCCCAAGGAGTGACAGACATATAGAGCTAGGACTTGCAGGAATGGCCGACTTTATGGTGAAAAAGGCCAACGACACTCTTATACCGATGATTCTCGCAGAAATCTATCGAGCTCTAACTGCCTGTCGAGCTGGGACAAAGTTCTTTGAGGGTTGCAACTTGCTTTTGCAAATGTGGCTGGTGGAACATCTTTGCCATCTCCCGAGGTACATGAACTACGGTCTGACCGGACTTGATTGCATTGAAGAATATGGAAACCGGGTAAATGGTCAAGAGTTACCGGAGGGTACTGAGGCTTGGTTCGCGTATTTGGGATTTTTTACCGCAAACCGAATTGAGTGGACTTTCAGTTGGCTCACGGTCAACGAGGTTATTTACATGTTTGCCGGAGTGTGCTTTCTTTTATTGATGGGACTTCGGAGTATTCAGCCATATGCTCCGCATCAAGTCCTACGCCAATTAGGAAGATACCAAACAGTCCCTTATGATGAAGATTTGAGTCCATAGGTTATTGAACTATGCCCAAAAGCCGCATTCCCAGAAGAAAAGGTTCGCCAAATTTGGCACCAATGTAGGTTTCTGGAGCCACAGACTCAAGTACGGGATTGTTCCTCGGGTGAAGTAGAATCTAACTACACAGCCTGGTATGGTAAGAGAGTTCGAGTCGATCAAGAGACAGAACAGCCCGCCAAAAGACCCCATGTCCAACAATTCACCGATGTAGTGCGAGAACAGTGGGTTTGGTTAGCTAAAGAAAAGGAATACCGGACCACCATAAGCAAGCTAGAGGATCAAATCAAAAACCTCAAATTTAACAGTAGTTTGTAGGTTGCTGAGGATGAAGGAGAAAAGAAAAGGTTGGCCCGAGAAAATGAAGCCCTCCGAGCTCAAATTCAGAAAATGAAAATAGTTGCTGAAAACCCGATAAAAAGCGAAAAAAATGAAAGACTCATAAGCAATCTGAGACTGAAAGTTCATGATTATGGGTTTGATTTGACAAAGGCTGAGGATGAATTGGCAAAAGCTCGGGTAAAATTGGCGAATAATGCAGAAGAACGGGCAAGGTGTGTTCAGTATTTAAAGCAAAAGTATGATAGAGGGGTCGCGATCTTAAGGGAAAAGCTGACTAATCTCAAAAATAAAATGGTCCAACAGACAAAGGATTTCAAAGCTGAAAGAGAGCATTGCTATACATCGATTTCCTGATTGGAAGAAGTCATACAACAATTGCAAGACCAAAACCATATGGCCACACAAGTATTGGAGGCCCGGTCTCAGCAAATTGGATGCTTGCTCCAAGAAAAGGGTGTCATTAGAATGGGGATTAAAGAAATCGCTGATTACGTCGTAATGAAATGCCATGAATTTGAAGATATGACCAGGTCCATGTTCTTTACTTCTGTGATGACTTTTGTCCGTCATATGATGGATGATTTAGAGTACCTTCAAGAAGAGATTGCACGCAGGCCCACGTCGAGATCGACTGATGTACCACGGGGCCCCAGAGTAGTATTAGAGGCTCTTATGTATTCCTAATTTTTTTTATTATTTTTGGCTTTGAGTCTGTATTTTTTACCTTTTCGAGTCTTTTTTTATTTTTTTTTGTTTCGAGTATGTATGTTTAATCATCAGTATTTCCAAAATCTTTGTAATAGAAAAACCCAAAAAGATTTTATTTAATGAAATGTTGAAAAAAAAACCAAAAACCAAAATTTTCTTTTCTTNTTTTTTTTTGTTTTGAGTATGTATGTTTAATCATCAGTATTTCCAAAATCTTTGTAATAGAAAAACCCAAAAAGATTTTATTTAATGAAATGTTGAAAAAAAAACCAAAAACCAAAATTTTCTTTTCTTTTATTTTGCATTTATTTCCTGAACTACGTAATGATCTGATTCATGCGGCGTCATGATACGTAGGCAATCCCCATCGGATTCGATTGTAGCTATAGACAATTTGAGTGAAAAATAAAGAAAAAGAGAGAAAAAGAAGGAAAACTGAGTGAACAAGAAAGAAAAAAGAGTGAAAAATAAAAGTGCAAAAACAACAATAAGGGAAGGAAAAAGAAATAAGGATCCGAAATTTGAGAAAAGAGATAGTAAAGCCGGGATAAAACATACAGCCGTTGCAAAGACATTTAGAAACATTTAATTGTTTAAGTGCATTGCATCCCCAATATGCGATTCCTTATCTGTTAAATATCTCAAACTAACCAGGTTGTTGTGTGTGCAAATATCAAAGGTCCTATTAAGGTGGTTGATTTTGTGGTAATATGGCTTCCCATCCTTACTTCACGAGATCTAAAGGCAGTGTTCCTATGGCCTCTGAAAGTCATCTACCAATTATTGAGCNGCAAATATCAAAGGTCCTGTTTAGGTGGTTGGTTTTGTGGTAATCTGGCTTCCCATCCTTACTTCACGAGATCTAAAGGCAGTGTTCCTATGGCCTCTGAAAGTCATCTACCAATTATTGAGCCTGAGGATAGTCCTGTATCGGCTATTCCACAGTTAGAGTCCGCAACCACTGAGGAAAATAGGAGGCTGGGCGTCTGCATGTTAGAAATGTGGGACGCTTGGTCTAATGGCAAAGAACCGCCCAGTATAATCCCCGGATTTCCTGAACTGCTTCCCAGGACAAGTGGAATCTCTAATGTCCCCATCCCCGTAACAAACCCATTTATCCCGTTTGGGTACCCCACTATTTCTGCTAATTTCACCGGTATGCCTTCTGAGGTTCGCCCCCAGGCACCGTTTTCAGGGGTACCTTCTACATTATTCACCGCACCACCAGTCTCTACTACGGCACAACCAACAGTTCCCAGGCCATGCTTCGAGCCTNCACTATATCGGCCAATTTCACCGGTATGCCTTCTGAGGTTCGCCCCCAGGCACCGTTTTCAGGGGTACCTTCTACATTATTCACCGCACCACCAGTCTCTACTACGGCACAACCAACAGTTCCCAGGCCATGCTTCGAGCCTTCAGCTTTCACTTTTCAAGTCCCGCAATTTCAGCTAGACAACGCTCATGTTACCCCAAACTCTTACCCTCAACACCCGCAGTTTGAGTCTCCTATGGAACAGGAAAGAGCTATGAGAAACCCCAAGAAAGAAGAGATGGTTCGGAAGATGAAAAGCCTCGAAAAAGGTCTGAAGAACATGCAAGGCCTGAGTGGCCAAAAACGTGTCTCATACTCCGATCTGTGTATGTTTCCTTATGTTCATTTGCCCGTTGGTTTTAAAATGCCAAAATTCAAAAAATACGACGGGCACGGAGACCCTATCGCTCATTTGAAAAGATATTGCAATCATTTGAGAGGGGCAGGTGGAAAAGAAGAACTTTTGATGGCCTATTTCGGGGAGAGCTTGACGAGAATTGCGTCAGAATGGTACATAATTCAGAACATCTCCCATTGGCATATATGGGATGACTTGGCCCGAGATTTCGTCAGGCAATTTCAATACAATATTGATATAGCTCCAGATAGGAATTCTCTAACCAATTTCAAGAAGAAAACCATGGAAAGCTTCCGTGAATATGCTATCAAGTGGCATGAGCAAGCATCCAGAGTGAAACCGCCTATGGATGAGGCAGAAATGGTCAATGTTTTCTTGCAGGCCCAAGAGGCCGATTACTTTCAAAACATGATGTCTGCAATGGGAAAACCTTTTGCATAGGCCATAAAAATCGGAGAAATGGTAGAAAATGACTTGAAAAATGGCCGAAGCATAAGTCAATCTGCTTTGAGAGACACCTCCCAAGCCATCCAGAACGGCTCGGGAGGTTTAGCAAATCGAAAGAAGAGGGAAGAAGGAGCCTTGATGACTTTAGGTTTGAGAGGCCCCCATCGACCCCGCGATCATTCTTACCTGCCTTCCAGAACCCCACAACACTACTACCCCCATCAAGATGCAGCATATGCCGTGGCACCGCCTCGCTATGCGGTGATGAATGTCCAACCTTATGCACGGCCACAACAACACTACAACCAAAACCGAGCTCCACCTCCCAGAAATAACCATCCTTACCAAGCTCCATATAACCCCTGTCCCCCACAAAACAATTACCAACATAATACACGCCCTCGTGAGCATCCTAGGAGAAACGACTTCACCCCTATTGGTGAGTCCTACTCTAGCTTGTTTCCAAAATTAGTCCAGATAGGTCTATTGCAACTTGTGCCTCCAAATCGGCAAAATCCGGAATCTCCATCATATCGGCCCGGTACTAGGTGTGCCTATTATTCAGGGGCAGAGCGTCATGATACGGAGGATTTTTGGACTCTCAAGAGAGCCGTTGAGAATTTGATAGAACAAAAACGAGTGGTGCTGAGGGACGAGGAAGTCCCCAATGTGACTAACAATTCATTACCGACTCACAACAACGGGCCGGTCATTGGAATTATTTGTGATGATAAAGAGTTTTATCCAGCTTTGAAAGCTATCATCTCCATTGTCGATTCAGAGGCAAGACCTAAAGCGGCGTTGAAACAAGCCAGAAATGAGAAGAAAATCACTCTAACTCCTCAAGTTGCAGAAACAAATACTGGGGCAGCACCATCTAAGGATGCAATTCTCTATGTTCCTAGGGCCCCAAGGAAAGAACAACTCATGTTGAACACTCCCAAAAGATTTGAGCAGAGGAAAGTCACGCTAAATGTGCCAAAGTTGTATGTGCCAAAAGGGACTTATGTGGCGCGGGGGCCGGTAATTTCACCAAGGCTGAATGAGCCCGTGGTTATTAGCCGCGCACCACAGAGCCCTATGAGAGACCCCATTGCAGTCCCCTGGAATTATAGCAAAACAGTGGTTACTTACAAGGGGAAAGAGATTATGGGAGAGGTGAACGAAATGAACCAACCTAGGAAGTACCACAACCCAGAAGAGCAAAAGATGTTAATACTGAGCAAGGATAAACAGTTTCCGCCTAAGAAGCCTGTGAGTTATGAGGAAGTAAAAGAGTTTTTCCGAAAAATGAAAACTTCGGAATATGCAATAATTGACCAGCTCAGGAAGACTCCTTCCCAGGTTTCACTTTTATCTCTTTTTATTAGCTCAAATGAACATCAGAAGGTACTCCTGAAAACATTGAACGAGGCATATGTCCCGGTTGAAATTTCAGTTGAACAACTGGTAAGAATGGCTGAATAATTCTTTGAAGTTAATAGGATTTTCTTCAGCCGTGATGATTTGTCCCAAGAGGGAGCCGCCCACAACAAAGCCCTTCACTTGACTGTCAAATGCTAAGGTTATTATATGAAGAGAGTCATGCTAGATGGTGGGTCTAGGGTCGACATTTGCCCTCTCTCAACGCTCCAGAGGATGAAAATTAGAACAGAAAGAATCCGACCAAACAATGTATGTGTGTGCGCTTTTGATGGTGTCAAACGAGACACAATAGGGGAAACTGATTTGATTTTGACCATTGGCCCTGTGGATTTCGAGGTAACTTTCCAGGTTCTGAACATGGATACTTCATATAATTTTCTCCTAGGAAGACCATGGATTCACACTGCAGGAGCTGTGCCCTTCACTGTTTATCAAATGGTCAAATTTGAACATGAAAACCAAGAAATTGTTGTCCACGGGAAGGATGAATAGTCCATTTACAGGGACCCTTCAGCCCCATGTCTCGAAGCTAGAGAAGGAAGTGAGCACATTGTCTACCAAGCCTTTGAAATTTTGATCGCTGATCAATGCGAAGAAGGGGCCCCGTTCCCTCAACTTTGCTTATCTAATGTCTCAGTCATGGTCTCTACTGAAATGATTAAACATGGGTACAAGCTCGGAAAGGGGCTCAGGGTATATCTACAAGGCATCATAGAGTCCGTTACGTCAACCGCCAATGAGAAGTTCTTCGGCGTAGGTTTCCGAGCTACAGAGGCTGATAGAAAATGGGCTGATGAGCGCAAGAAAAATGGGTGGGTCCTGCCTCAGCCCGTTCCGCATCTTACCAAGTCATTTATTGATCCCAAATATGTAGAAGAAGAAGAAGAAGAGACCTTCACGGATGAAAAGATTGAGGACATTTGTGAAGCCATGAAACGAATGCTGTATGAGTCCCACATAGTCCAGCTAGGGGAAGGAACGAGCACTGCTGAGGTGTTATACATGGGGCCAAATGCCAAGCTTCAGAATTGGAAAGATACCACATTCCCTGTCAGGCGGGAATCCCGGTAGTCCAGTTTTGCCATCTTTTCTACATTACGAGTTATTTCAGGGTGTACCTCGAATGTTTTTATTTTATTGTCTTTTGATTTCGATGTAAACCCTCTTATCTTCAATTCAAT